ATATATATATTTATGAGCGACTGAACAGCATTCAACCTAAAGGCTCTAGAATATTATTAGAATGAGCAGTTAGATAAAGATAAATTATTCAATCAGGTTAGGGCAGCAATTTGATACATTTACATAGTAGTGATAGTTAACAAGGAGGGAAATAATATTAACAACGAATATACGACGACAGAAACATTAATCAGTCATGAATTAACGTCACTAGAATGATTTGTAGTGTGGCAGTGGTGGTTTATTACAGATAAATAATTAACGCCAATATTGTTCGTTTAATGATTTCTAAAAAACACGTCCCTTGCGAAAATTTGACAATTTCTTCTCGAATAGACTGGGGACACTGTTTATCGAACGAGAAAAGACAGTTTTTTAATAAAGGGTTTTTCAGTTTGTTTAAACAGAGGTAACTTGTACGAAATTACCATAGGATCTTTTCAGCAACAAATAAAACATCGAACAACAATACTTCTCGATAAACCATCGATTTCTCAAATTAGAAACACACATTCACCTCTTCAGTGAAAATCGCACCAAATATAAAGCTACCATCGTATCGCACAAACCACTTATAGATAAAACACATATTACTAGCAGTAACTACTACTACATGTACTATTTCACATATGATTAACGAATTACGCATTCAGCAAAATACCGAAAACAAGAACATCCGTTAAACGAACGAACGAACATTGTAGCGCGATGTTTTCCTAGGATCATTGATCTATAATTCCCTTTCTAATCGCAATTAAGAGGAAGTCGGCTTCACTATTTGTTGTCGATGAACTGTTTGTTAATAGGTTCCATTATTTGTTGCTGTTGACAAACTATTTGTTAGTAGACTGTTAGAATTTGAGCGTCTGTCAGTTATCTTATTAAGCAACAGATGGGTGGTTAAAGATTGACAGACATCATTCACATTCGAAAAACTTTCATTCGAACTCAAAAACGCGTTAATTGTTGTTGTTGATGGAAGAGTTCGGCTGATATCGTTAACGATGAAAAATTAACGAACAATTTCATATGACTGATAAAAGAAAAACTGATTATCATTATTGCTGCTCAAATGACCGTGTTCAATTAATGAAGAAAGCAGTAACATTTCGTTGGCGTCGTTGAAAAATTATTCACATATTTGTGCGCTTGATTCGAAACAAATGAAGAATGCTGTCAACGATCAAGTGCCATCAAATAACGATAATTCTCTTCTTCGCTTCGTATCACCGGCTTCGCGAAGAAACCACGACCGAAAACACCGAGAACACCGTGATGCTGCTGCTGAAATTTGATGAACACGTCAATCATATCTACTTTGGTAGAATGATACATATGAACAGAAGTAAATCAATAAAGCACTTGCATTTCGAGAATCAGGTGAGTTGCCTGGCGATGCAGTGTCACTTGCAGCTGTGCTTGTCGATGGCACTGGTATACCAGCAGTAGCAATAACTGATTCATTTGGGTGCTGATGTGACGACGGCACTGCCAGAGATTTGCCACTGTGAGCTGCTATCGTCGACATTGTTAAGCCGTCTTCAACACATTTGCACTATTAATTAGCACTATACTCAGTAGATCGCTATCTTATAACGATCATTGTAAGATCAGCACGTTATCATAAAACAATCAAAATTCTTCTCATTTCATCATATCAGCAAAACATTTTTACTATCTTTCAGTGAATCCACTTGAACATATCGCCTTTAAAAGGACGGGTGTATTCAACCAATCATTTATTCCAAAATGATATCTACTTTCTCAGTGATAATAAGAGTAATAATGATAAGAGCGAGCACAAACAGTACATGCACAGTGATTTAAAGAAAGCAACGAGCATGAAACAATATGATAAAAGAAATGATAAGAGCGTACTGGAATCACGATGGAACGATGGTGTATATTGTTGAATGGAGGATGATGAGGATAATGTCAAGTGCTCGTCTGGTTGTTTTCCACTGATCGGCGAAGAAGTACAAACTATAGCGGTTGAACTGTTCGATTTACGTATCGATAATTGCTGTTGTTGGTACGGTGATGATGCTATTGATTGTCGCTCTTTATTGTTACAATTCAACGATGACGATTGCTTGCTTTGTACACTTTCAATGCTTTAAATTTCGTTATTATTAATGCTTAATTATTTTAGTTACCTTCTTCCTAATAATTCCTCTTACCAAAAAAGGCAAACGTTGCACGTGATCTTTACACATTTTCTTACCGATTCAACAACAACACAGAAACAATGAAATGACAACAATTTATATCACAATGACAATGATTGCTATTGTAACTTTAAATAAGACCCACCATTGTTAGCCAATAACAACACCGTGCGGAGCAATGGATAATGATGAGAAGTGTTAATGAGCATTATTAAATTTTGATTGATCAAAAATTCGAAGAGAGGGATGAATTTTTGCAGCTTTTTGTAGTTGGAACGGATGGATACTCAGCTGCGACATCAGTAGTCATTAAGGCTCAACTGCAGGTGGTTCATTGGTATTGGGAGGATGGACCTGCTCAAGTGGCTAATCACTGGCAATGGATGGATGAGTGAATAAAGTGAGAAGCAATGGAACCAATATAGAACAATCACTTAAAATTTACTTTTCGAACGCTCTTCTACCAAATTCGTTGAAATTATCAATCAGAAAAAAAGATTTCAATTCATTATCAACCAGTGTTGTTCGTTCATTCAACACAAAAACGATACAGTGGTGACAGAACGATTCCATAAAGACGTGTTTATTTGGTGAAGGAAGTGAACATTTTGAACTGAACACAGCTTTGGAAAAATTAATTCTTTCTGTCAAAAGATGCGAAGGTATTCAGTTAGTGAATAGAATCATTTGAATAGCGAACGATTTTTGCATCGTTAGGAGACGAATGAGGAATTTTCTTAGAGATTGCAGGTTTTTTCTTCAATATCTCATTTCATTTATACATAAAAAATCAATGATCATCCACCCCCATCGTTTAAAAAAATGAACAACTAACAACTCATTGATGTAATTTTCTTTCAATAACCAACAACAGCAACACTGACAATATGAACGTAAGCAGTGTTTTTTGTAGAATTACATATGAAGGTTCATATTATCATAAGACATGATAGTCTGCAACATGGACTAATTTCTGACTGATCGTCATATGAAATGAGTGATGAAATCAGGCGAAAGCAACTGAACAAAACCAGCTCAATCTAATGAATACAAGCTTTCTTAATGAGTTATTTGCTGATGTACAAAAGAGAGCAATTCATGAAGAAATAAGATGAGATAAGAATCATATGATCGAAAGACAAGCCGAGCGTGTTGAAGGTCATCTCACAATTTCATGAGTGATACGTTTTTTTCCCTCAATTTTTGTTCTTATCAGTATTAGAAGCTTATTGAGCATAAACACATGATTTGTTTTGCTGAACGATATAAACAGATACTTGTATGGAAATGATACACTAACAAAATATATCAAAAAATGAATTGCACAGATTAATAAATAAAATCGTTAGAGATTGTTCCCACTAAAAGATTAACTTTTTACAGTTTATGATCGAATGATGCTCCCACTGTTTACGTTCATGTTTAGCACTTAAGCATTCAGCGGGCATGCTGTGACAAGAATAAAAATTTTAAAGGAGAAGGTTCGTAACAAAGGATTGATTTTATCGGTACAAGCTAGATGAAATCAATTAATTACCAACTTGCTATGAACAAGGAGATGCATCAGCAATAAATCACTTATCTATCTGCTAATCACATCAGAAGTCAGTATCAGCAAGTAAATAAGATGTTGTTGAGACTACACGATGATAATATTCAACAACAACGAACAAAAGTTTCCTTAGGTTTTCTCCTAAGTTCCAAGTGAAATTTTCCACTTGTTATATACAGCCACAGACGCTTGTAAGAGCATGAATATGAACGTCAGTTTTGTTCGAATCGAATAACGAGTATTATAAGAATCAAAAGAAGCCTATAGAATAAAACACTTATAATAATCCGATTTCATATCAAGTTAGAGTGCTTGCAAACTGATCAACGAATGTCAACATAAATATAAGTGGCGAATATCATCCGTTGATGGACCATCGCAGCACGTTCTTGGCATGATGTATGTTCATGTGCAATGCATGAAACATGAAATGAAAATAAATCGAGAGATTTTCTCCTCAGAAAGCACAAGTTATATTTTGATTACCCAGTAATACTACTAGTAACACTGATAGTCGAAGAGTTGAGATGTTATTCGCGAATTCGTGAATGCAAATGACGATTTTTATCTTTTGGCTTCTGAGGAGGAGAAGAAGGCACCAGCCGAGCCCGATTCATTGTTCAATTTGCTGTTCTCAATCAGCTCTCAAAGTCTATGAATGTGGGCAGCCGAGTTATTCGCCGTGGCGGTAAATATGTAAAACGAATTCGATGACGAAGCAATGTTTGAGTGCTCTGAAGAGGCGGTGCAACAATATTTGAGCGATGAAGAAAGGAGCGAACTGTGTTAATGATATGTGTCTGTGATTTGACAGAGTTGAGACAGCGATAATGATGAGTAAAGAACATGGCTGTATGAATCGTCACTGACGATGAGTGCACAAGAACGTTTTTTGCTGCTTGCACGTTGTTGTGTGAAAGTTTATTTTATCATCACTTCAACCGTTTGCTTCAACTACCAGAAGATTTCGTCCAACTCTTAATCGTTGCAAAAAAATTTGCGAAATTCACTAGTCAATCAATCAGTCAGCTTCAAGCTTCAACGATCAATGAACAAAAATTTCAACGGTATGTAGTTCACAAAAAGAAACCTGAAACTAAAACAACCGAACGCATCGCGTAAATAAGCAATTAGAAAATCATTAATCGCAGGTAACGCGCAGTCTTTCTCAATCAGCCGAATGAAGCAGTTCAAATCACACGACCACACCATGATTGTATCAGAGCATTAATTATTAGTGAAGGTTGAATTTAAAGCAAACGAGTAACAGAAACTCGTCAACTGTAAATGAACAAATGAGTGTGAGTGAGGAAGGGACATCATTCCTTCATCCATTTACAGTTAAACATTGTAATTTATGAAAATGACGTTAAACTATCACGAGTTCATCATTGACGACTAATGACGAAGGTTCACAAAGATAAGAAAAGAAGATAGATAGTCAGATTGACAGTTTCGTAAAAAAAGAGACAAGATAATAAAACTGAATTTAATGATATCATCGTTAACACGAGTAAAAGCTTTAACAAGCAGCGCATTTGAATCGATCAAACAAAATTATCATTTATCAATCCATTTTTCGAAATTTTTATGTGCCTTCTCACTCAACAACACATGTAGAAATATTCTACTTTAAAAAAAATGCTCGTTGGTGCATTAAGGGAGCGCTGACTTTGCTTCTGACATGGTTGATTGATTTTGGTATGTCAAGAACTGCAGAATTTTTTGGTTGCTAGATGATAAAGATGAACAAATGGATCGGTAGATAAGATCCGCTGTGAATCAACAGATCGGCGGATAATATGCGTAGTCATCGAAATGGATGATGATGCACTTAAAGCGATTGAACGCGTTGAGTTCATCTCACTGCCTCCAAGAAAGCGGATTTCATTCGCTTCTGCCAATTGAAATTGGTGAGTGATATAAGTCAGTTAGTCCATTCTTCACATCAAAAATACCTATCAGTTCAGAAATTTTGTCTCTTCTATTTTGAAGAAACTTTCAACAATAACCGTTCTTCACGACACTAATAAGCAACGTTATGATGCATACCGTTTATCACGATTCATCGATGATTAACGGTACGACGACTGAATATTAAATGCTTCCGATCTGAACAATTCCACCAGTGAATGTAAATAAAACCATAACAGCGATGCTAACAGCTGCTATCGAATGAAATGATGCAATCCACAATGATCTGGTCACATTCAAAGCATTTCATCGTTCTCGACAATCAATCACCACATGATTCAAAAACATTCGAACGCATAAAAATGCGTCTTATAAATGATCTTATGATATGTATACGTTGATCGGAATGCTAGCGAGTGAGTGAATAATGAGTGACGTCGAATGATGTGATGAAGTTCATTTCGGTTGTGATAAACATCGTGATGAATGGAGGTGATAACAGCAACGTGATCAAGCATGACCACATAACTAAGAATTTCAATGAACAACATCGACGCTTCATTATTCATTATCACATAGGGACAACAGTACGCTATTCCGCTACTCGCGCAATTGCGATAGCGGATAGCGCGCTACGGTGTTCAAATAGCGGCATTCTATAGTGATAATTTCCGCTAGTGTCACTGTGTAGCGCTTTAGCGAGCTATTTTTCGCGAGCGATAACGCTTCAGTGAACTACTTCCGCTATCTATTCGTCTACAAGTGAATGCATATTTTCTCCAACACTAAGGCATGTAAACACATAATTGCACTGTAGCACTGCACCAAATTCGAATCTATCCTACTCGTACCCTTCCACCTTACGGTTCAAACTTGAAACGAAAAATTACACCTCGAGACGTGTCAAAAATGATGTGTTGGTTGCCTGCTACTGTTATACCAATAAATATAAATAAAAATGCGAGTGTAATACAATCACTACTGATTTTAAATTCTTAACAAGTCCAAGAAGATGAATCAATGAAAATTGGATAAGCAAAAGAATGTCGACTAAGACTGTGCGGTGAGTTTTAAACATTCAAACGACTAAATAGGCTAAGTAGATGTGATCACGTGAAAACTAAAAATCTTTGCCGTTTTGAAAATCGCATAAGCAGGAAACAAAACACAATCTTCTTTACGGAAAGGTCACAAACTTAATCTGGTGTTTCCTGATGAAATATACATCAGATTGTAGAGCTCCTCGAGCTGATTATTAATATGCAAAAATTTTTGCGAAACACAAAGGGGAGGCGAAATATGGCGGGGAAAAGGTTTTATGCTAGAAAATCGATGTCGTTGGTTATTACATGGGAATGAATTTTGCGGACGAATGTTTTGGAAATGCGGAAGAATCGATCCATTGGTTGAATAAGGGAAGTAGCGCCGGGTGGAATATTCTCAATTTCGAGAGATACATTTGATGGAAACAGTTCTCTCATTTCATCGTGTCGTTTGAATAATGGCCACGAATCCAAAATTAAAACCATGCGTGGCTGCATTCAGGTACAAACAATCAAAAGAGATCTCAAAGTTTTTAAAATATGTAAAAATGTCCCCCCAAAGAAAGATAGAAGCTGTGGGGAGGGAATCATGGTTGTTTGAATATGTCATATATACACGAGAAAAAAAACTCCGGCATCACGCGGAACAGAACCATCGAGCACCCACACTTAGCCCTAGCGCACTACCTACTAGGTCAGGCCGCTGTTGTCAGATCAAAATTCAGAACGTAACTTCAACACACTGAAAACGTTTTCCCCGCCATATTTCGCCTCCCCTTTGTGTTTCGCAAAAATTTCTTACATATTCATGATCAGCTCAAGGAGCCCTACAATATTATGTATATTTCATCACGAAAGGCCAGATTAAGTTCGTGGCCTTTCCTAGTGAGAGATGCATGAACATGGCTAACAACGTCTTCAATTGTATTACTGAGAATTTGCACAATGAAACGAGCAAGGCATGATATGATTTGGAAATGAAGCGGAGACATGCCGTTAGTTTTCGCTTCGGATGAGTAGTGGTCAACGACCAACGTGAGTGCAATAACACGCTATCAGAATTATAACTCTAGTGATCAAGGATCAAATGCCAGTAAAGGCATTAAAGCCGCGCAGTTCAGTTGCTCGCAATAACACGCAGTTCTGCTTGAATAATCAGTGGTCACGTGGTTGCGTTTTGGATATGCTGTGAAGTTATTATTGCCATTCTTTTGGAGCGTACCTCTTGTTGAGTGGTGCAATAAAGATTTTCAACTGGCGTTCAATGGCGTTCTTCTGGATTTTCCCCCATACAAACAATTGGTGCAATTGCAATTTGAAAACTCATTCCACGATTTGATAATCGTCGGCTTTACTGTGCTTAAGCGATTCATGAATACACAAATAGATAGCCAAACAACCAGTGAATTAATTCAATGAGTACGGCTTCTCAAACAAATAATATAGTCGATCGAATGCAACCTTTCTACACCACTGATGAGTACTGCTTGCTAATAGTTTTTTTGCGCGTTAATGAAAAAATATGGACACGCATAAAAAATTGATAAAACAAGAATACCAAATGAGATGAAGGATTAGTGGATTGAAGAGGAAGGAACGAAATGAGATAACTCTAGATAGAGGCAGTAAAAGTTAACATGATGCTTAAAGAAGTGAGCTTATTCGTAATCTGACATCTTCGATGATTTCACAATGAACGTTAAGTATTCAAGAGAGAAAAAACAATCACAAATGATGTAGCAAGTTCTGATTTGAAGCGGACAACGAATCAAGAAATTCTTCTTTCACAGATCAAGAAATATTTCGTAGATCTTATTTGGCTACTTGCAGAACTCAGATAATCTTGGACAAACGTTTAGCTGGAGGTGGAACTGATTTACTTCTACATGCAGTTAAAGATTAGCTGTAAAAAGTTGTCCGATTTCTACAGCCATTTAACTGAGAAAACTGAATAAGAACGGATACATGTGTGACGACGAATAAGCGAAATATGAAAGTGCAATGAAATGAAAACTTACGCGCTATCATCGACAACGACTTGCGGATGAGGACAACTGTTGACACCGCTATCGAGACATCTTTTTGAGGATGAAAATGGTGTACTTAAAGCTGAATCAACTTGTGTTAGTCCAGAGAGTACTCTTGTTAACGATGAAACATCTGAAAACATCATTCAGCAGTCAATCTCTTGTCAAAGAAACTTCAAGATTAAGAAAATTTAACCGATTTGTTCGTCACACTGATTCATTAGCAGTCAATCATTGATCAGTTTCATTAATTTATTTATTGCCACTTCTCAATGCACAATAACGTATTTCTTTATCACCGCTCTCAACTTATCATTCAGTTTTCCAATACACTGGTCAATAGAACGACGGCTGTGTCAATTTCGAAAAATGTTTATTCTTTAAGGTTTCCTTCTTCTTGTCATTCTTCTCCTTCACAATCCGGATGAATCAGATCTTCTCCGTCATTGCGAATTTCGAATTGCGTTGCTCAGAAAATTTCGAAGAATATTTTTTCACTGATTGGTCAATCAAATGATGATGAACAACAACACTAAGAACTGACGTAGAGGATCTTGACCGTGTACAAAGTGCGGTATGTCAAGGTGGGGTTCACTGCGAAAAGTTCGAGTTAAAGCCGCCGCACGAAGGGCGGTGGCTCGAGTGGCGGCTGGTGGAGGTGGCAGAGGATTCAGTGGTGGTAGGTGCGACTCAATATTAGGCTCTATATCAGCACTACTGTCGATGCCTCGCATTGCCATTTTTATCGATCATGAAACAGTTCAACTTCTTCAATTAACTGTTGGTGATCAGTGAATATTGAATAGATATGCAGATATTAGTTCATATTCAAATTATTTTGATCCGATTTGCGACCTTTGATCCGATTATTACCAGTTTAATCTGTTTTTTTTTCTCTGAAATCCACAGAAAATTAGTTCATTTAAACAAGAAAGATTTGTGGCGAGCGCAACATTGAACGGATCGTTTGAAAATGAGCTGACTGGCTTGATGGTATCGTCAGAAAAGAATATTAAGTAATAATAAGAATAATAAAAACAGCGATGGCGCTCGTAAAATCGTAGCTGACCATAAGAGGTAGCACAGGAAAGAAACCATTACCGTATGGCTTTAATGAGCTGGAAACGTGGACCTATTGTGGTTCCGTATCTATCATCATCATCATCATCATCACCACATCTGCGGTACTTCATCTGGATCATTCAGTTTGGAAACTTAGACATTCGACAGTATAAAGATGGGGTAATTCATTGAAAGAATTTCAGTACGAATAACGTCGAAAAAAACAAAGTGATGATGCAGTCAACTGATGTGTTAAGTGATGAAATTTGAACGAAAATTTCATTAGAAACTAACGACCGACCGAACGTCGTCTTGCTTCATCCATTCATTAGTGCTCACTGTTTGGGAAAGAAAATTATGAATTCGTAAAATAAGCAGGCATAAAGCAATAACTTGTTTTGTTCTAATACAATATGACGATCGCTGATGAAAGAAACATACTTTTCATCACAACTGATTGAAATATAGGACTTACTTAAAACTTGAATGATGAGTGCTCAATACTTTTTAGATAGACACTGAAGGCTCACTGACTGACTGGCAGAAATTCTTTCACAAGTCGCCAATCTTTCTAAGATCTATTCTTTAGCTGAATGTGTTTGTTGTTTCAAAGTTATACACTGTACTTCACCATTAGAATGATGCTTATCGTTAGTTAGAATAAATCAATCAATACAACTATATTGATACATTAGTGGATATCTTCAACTGCAGCCATGAAGACACTTTATTGTTGTGGAATCACTCGCGAGCGTTCATATGGAATGTCTTCATCGCTGATTACAGTTATTTTCCGTTAATTAGGCAATCAAAACGGTTTAGTGGATATATTAGAGCTGAATCACTAGAGTCATACTGATAAGACAATAACGTGTAAAAAAATAATGACGCTAGTAATAGAAGATAATAATTTCGATACAACAGTATGAAATAATGAAAGGACTCGCACTCTTTTCAGATGAAATGTTATTGAGTATAACATATCTACTTCCGACAACATGTGCGAGTGTGCGATTGCAGTGCCGGTGACCGGCTGATATGGATCAATAAATGCTCATCACTACAACTGTGTGATGATACGTGTGGGTGAGGGGCGTTAGTATTTTGGAGCTGGTGTTTATATAATACGCATTGAAATGCATCAGATTTGGAGCGATGAAAGACTGTATCAAGAACGGCATTCGTGAATACTTTATCCGTCAACAAGAAGCAATAATCATAATTGTGAAAGATGTCAATAAATTCAAAATAATTAAAACCCCCACAGAAGCAGTCAAACTTCTTTCTCAAAGTACTTTCCAAAGTAGCTGATTGTACTATGCAAATAATCGTCGGTCAGTTATCTGTGATAACTGATGCTGGAGCATTTTCGGGCACGAATAGATCTCAGTACATTTCAACGCTCTATCGATCATCAGTCAACATGCATTAACGTGTAGAAATTCGTCTTCACACATTCGCATTAATTTACACTCTGAATTATTCGAATGGAAATGGTGATGTTCTATGGTTTTCTTAAACTTGAGATATCAGAGGAATTATCTAGAAAGTGGAGCTGTTTACGTTACATTTAGTAGCATGATTTTATGATGGTGAAATCGTGATGAGGTGGCATCCATGCGCACGACTGATAAGATGTTGTAATATTTGCATGCAATTGGACTTCAGCATCGCAACAAATCTTCTTTACTGTTAGGTGTTTTAACCTGATCAGCTTGTTTTTGCAGATTTTTGAATGATGTTCCCATGATCGGGAAAGCTGAACACAAACAGCCTCGTGATAATTTGTACTGTCTAGACTAAGCATGATCTGGTCTCATAAAATTGTCTGACTCCATAATTGGACCCATGAACAGTTAGTTGTCAATGCATCGGCTGACCACGCGAAATTATCCTCGCAACCCATTCACAGTTGTGTTATGCAGATGCGAACAGTACTTGTTACTCTTCAATCAAATGTGATCATATTTGTGCTCATTTGCGAATGCATACGAACGATATGATGTTTTCATTTGAACAGCATTTCATCAATTCAACTATACCACCTCGTCAACTTTCATATCGAATTCCCATAATGTTTTCTTCTTCTCATTGTTATATATTGCAAACCATGCTATTACGTCATTACGTTATGCACTTTTCTCAGTGAATGCAGAAATGATTGTGATTCGCTATCATTCATTTCGTCTCTGATGAATCGACATTTTATTCATTTCGTCGCATCGTTATGGGAAATTGTTATTGTTATCTGACAGATTAAGACAAATTATCTGAAGCCAAGAATTTGTTGTGGCTTGTAGATGTTGCGGATTAATTGGCCTTATCTATCCGATACTTCGACGTCATTTTTCAATTTGTTCATTTCAGTTAATTTCTGTAATAGCGCCTGCACGTTGAATCGAGTTTATTCATTTGTTGATGCCTGTTTAAGGCTCAATTCGATCTGATTTCGTTAGTCCCCAATACAAAAAAGAACTACTGCGATGTTTGTCCACCAAAATTTGCAGATTAAACCCACGAGTGCGGGTTCGATGCTGAAGCAGATTTGTGCATCGTTCCATCGACAGCTTCATCTTGAGCCTCGTTCAGTTCAGCTGCTCACCAAAAGGTTTCTACCAGCCCGAGGAACGAAACCTTTGCCTCGATATCTATGGGATTTAAAGGACCTGAATGAAAAAGCCAAAAACACCTACACGTTTAAGCCTTTGGTCGTTCGGAGGTTAGGTGGACGACATCCAGAAACAGGTTTCCAATTCGTTTCTTTTTTAGTCTCTTCCGTGCATCATCCTTCAAGTCCTTATCGAGCAGTTCGCATTTAAAGATCCAGAGCAATTTATTTGTGTTGCAAGAATCGTTCGATTGATTCGTTTTTGTGTTTGTTGAATACTGAAGTTCGTTGGCATTTAATTTCTCTACTGCTTCCAACCAACAACCAGTCCGTATCATTCTTTGTTAGGGAAGAAGTCGATGCATTTTTCCTTGTGGACTTCAGGAAACTCTGATTAATCAATGGAATGTTGGTTGATTGATGAATCTTCTTAATACGAATTAGTTTAAGGACGAAAAGTGAATCAACACATCGGTGGTGGAGTGAAGTTCGATTACTTTATAATTGATTATCATCGTCGAGGACCAACTGAACCTGGACAGACATATGATGAACGGGTGAATTATATTTGCGGTTGAATCACTGATTCGTGTATTATGAATTTGCAACTTATAAAATTAAATGGATCGTAAATGAAAGTATATGATTATTAATTAAACATTTGCTGTTTCATAATATTTCAAGTTGACATGCATCAGATGTATCTGTGAAAGTTCATAACCCTGAAATCTCGATAACGGTTCAGATTGCTTAGATAAATAGATACGAATTTTGTGGTTAATCCATTGATGCCGGTTGTCCTCTTCATTTCTACCAATCACACTCCGGTTCACTGATTAAGGGTAGTTTATTCAATGAGTGGAGAACATGAGATCATCAAAATAAGTTAATTAGATTGGAGTAAAAGTGATATGAGCATTTTAAAAGAGTATGTTGATTTACCTGTCCCCATAATGGATAAGTGCATATTGCAATAACCAATATTCTTAGTTTATATAGCATCATTATTTAGGTAATCGAGGTGCGTCGTGATCCAAATCGAACGTCTCATATCGCGTTGGTTGCTGGATCGAAGGGGAAACGTTGGATTCTTGCTACGGAAAATATGAAAGCAGGACAAATCATCAGCACATCATGTCACATACCCGAAAATCCTCTCATCGGTTGGACTTTTTCTTTTCAATGAGAATTTCACTGTTCGTCATGTCCGTTCATTCTTTTTTACTCATTTATTGAATCAGAGCTTTTATTTCCGTTGGAGATTTCTTAGAGATAATATATCGCATATTTATTCGTCATGATCTTTTCAACCCAAATTTATCAGTCAGTTTAAAAAAACTTAAATCGATCAATGTATTCAAAACACACTTCAAAATGAATCAAATTGACTATAATGCCAGAGAAGTTAAGGTACTGAAGGTAACGCATATCCATTAGGTGCATTAGCACCAGGTTCACTGATAAACTCAGTCGAAAGGTATCCAGTAAAGGAACCATCCTACCCAGGAAACGATTCCGAAGTGTTTGTTGTAGCTGCTGGAAAATGTGCTCAAGTTGTACGACATCAGGGTGAATTCGTGGTGATTAGAGTGAGTACGCATTTTTACTGTTTATCGTTGAGTCATTCAAAATCTGTTATCGTCATTATGAGAAATTACATTTTGTTGAGCTAATTCCACATATCATGATAATAATTTATTCATTCTTTGGATTGAATTCAGTTGTTTAAATGAAATCATTCAGGTAAGTTAGAAATAACTTGAAATTGTTTATATTCAGCTACCGCATAAACATGAGTTTTCGCTGCATAGAACATGTATGGCAACAGTTGGTCGTCTTTCTCATGCCGATATCGATAGCAAAATTTTTGGTTCTGCGCAAATGCATCGACGATTCGGCTATAAAATGAGCAGTGGTCTCTTCCACAAGAAGGATGGTTACTGCGGACGTAAAATCAGAAAGTTACCCGCTGTTCGAACGTAGGTTTCGGGTTTTGCGTTATTTTTCATACATCCAATTACATCTCTTTGAACCAAATTAATCCTAAAAGCTTTGGGAAGCGGTAATGTGATGAAATTATTGAACATAGTTAAGTAAGTAACTGGGCCACTAAAAATGTCCAAATGTGATTGAAATTCCATTTTTCATTAGTAAATTAGAACACTTGCAAAAGGTTGGAACTTGTAGATTCATGTGATCATTTCGAGCGATCTCTGCTGAATTCTCTAGTATTGGCAAAAAAGTGTGAATTTTTTAAATGTAGCACAACGATAAAACGTGATTTTTCAAGATTGATCGAACCAGAGAAAGAACCTCCACCAAACTATCACATCACGTTAACAAAGGATCAGTTGAGTGGGTTGACCGGAAATGCACAGGTGCATCCTCTGCTACCAGCCGGATATAATACGCGTGATTATCCCGATTAACAATGCCGCACTTATTGTTCTTTGCATTATCCCACCAAATCCTTACTATCAGTGCTGCTGTCTTCAAACAGTATTGCTGTGCTCACAAGTGTTATTAGTCAGTGTGTGAACAGTGCTCTCTCAATGATTGTAAGTTGTAAATGAATCGAAATTTGTTCACTGATTAATCAGTAAGGAACGATTTTGAATAAACGCTATAAGAAACATTCTTCGCAGTTCTAGATATGGCGGTGTTAGTGTTGTTTTACATACACTGTTTTTAAAATTTCAACGAAACGCAGACTCTTAGAAACACAGTAATGCTTCGTTTAACTGTACATCATTCGTTTTGAATTAGTGTTCAAATGTGTTGGCAGTATCAAATGTTGTCTGAATGCCCAAAAACGTTTATATTCGCAACATTCACGATCTTGTTAAAGCAAGCACATGTATATGTATATAAAAGCAATATTTATTGCACTATTGTTTCTTAATGAACAGTAAACAGAAAAAGACGTCAAGATGAACATAAATTTACAAAGTGTTCCAGCGATCGGTCATCGAAAAATCATCAATAAAATCATTTGCAGTCTGTGTTAAAGCATCTAGCTGACTAGTTACTACTGTTGAACAAAACTGATAATCCTCATCATTGGTCTGCGTTTGAATATTTCTTAAGAATTCATCAAAGTCGAATTCATCCACATGTGTTTCGGCATGTCTGAATTCACGTTCCTCAGCAGTGAAATCTAACGGTGATGTTTCAATGGACGCATCAACAAGCATGTTCGACGAGGTTGTGGCAGCAGCAGATAATGACAACGATGTATCGTTGGTTATCGTACTACAACTTCTTGTTGTTATTGTGTTAACACTGGTTGTTGTCGTGTTGACTGCAGTTGTTCGCGTTGTATTCGGCACCGAGCAACGGCTGCATATTCCGTCAGAATCCTTCTCGAAGTTATTGTTTTCATCGAAATCTTCTTCAATGTATTCGTTCAAATATCGCATATCACCAGCACACATTTGAGTGCCAAATTCGGTACTATCCAGCGGACTTGTTTGACAGTAAAAGTCATTTTGCTCATAAACTGGTGGCAGAGACTGCAAATGGATAAACAAACTTTATTTTGTTTTAGTTGACTGGTCGATATTTCGAACAAACAAATAAATAAATGAGTAGTAATTTTTGCTAGTCAACACTCCTTGCATTCCTAGTTCCATAAATGAGTACAGAAGAGAAGAAACAAGTTCAGACACGAATAAAACAAAATATTGCAGAAATAGATCGAAAATTACTTGAAATGCTATAGAGTTGATGGGCGGCAATGTTGTTTGTGCACCAACAGTACACACATTTGATGGAGCAGTACAAGGTGAATGTTCGTCAATTATTTGATCGCTATTATTATTATATCCGTATCTCATATCTGCTGCATATTGATTCTCTGTTTGTGTACCAGCATTCACTCTTAAAATGCACGAATCTATCTGTGATTTCTTGTTTTCCTTTTTCATTCCGCATATATTCACTTGAGAAATGATGGATCTGATCAACAGATCATTAACTATGTCGAATAAGCATTATTGCATTATAGCATTCTACAAGAAAAACTATTGATTTGAAAGATGAATAAATTAAACAACAACGAACCGATTCATCACAACGCTGCTGTTCTGAATCATAGAAGAACTCTCTTGTCTGAGAACATTCAAAATTATCACTGGTTGAGGTAAGATAACCAGAGATCGCAGTGAGCGGGTATTATCATTACTGACGTTATTATTATTGCTGATCTTACCATCATTATTATTAAGGTTGCTCTTATCATTATTATTATTATTATTATTATTATTGTTGTTATCTCGATTAATACTATCATTATCGAGTGAACATGTAGCCTTTTCGAGTATCCTTTCATTGTCGGGAGCAACTTTTGAATTTAATTCATCTAAACGAAACGATTTTTGATTGGCACCTTCATGCATTCAATCACTAATTTTAATATCATTAACCGCCGAGTCTCACGCCAACAGTAATCTCGTAAATGCATAAGTAATTTTATGAATCCATTCGTCAACTACTGCTGTCATTCACAAAACGAATAACATACGAGTAATAAGTTCACCTTTTGCAATGCACTTCCGTTTCTGATGATATCTTAAATCCCTTTCTAAACTGAACGCCGCTATATTGCATTTCGAACATCTGAAAAACATTGTCATTCAGCTTCTAAGAGAATGCAATCAGTCATTAGAAACTGCGGCTGTTGCTGCCTTAAAAATAATCCGTTTTCAAGAACAAAAAGAGCTTGCCATAAATCTACCAAACAATGTTGGAAATAGTCAGGGTTTTCACCTATGTCCTCTCACAAAAACCCTAACGAAAGATGCCGAGAGCGCTACTCTTTGGTTATAAAGCTTCCTTTCTCAAAACAACGCTCTTCGATTAAAATTAGAATATTTAAGAGTGAATACTATCAAGACCATTATCCATTCAAGAAGCACTTCAATCAATTTATAACAACTGTTTTAAGAGTGGTAATTTCATTTAAATGTTGATCAGTAACGATAAAAAATGTTGAGAAATTTAATCTTACTGAAAGATAAACGATAAGCTGACAAGTGTACATGTGAAAAATAATTGTGAATTTGAATGGAGTCTAACCTCAATGATTTTTTTGTGTGCACCTTCTTGTAGTGTTGTTGAAGAAGTTTATATGAGTTGAAAAAGTGTGACGAAGATTTACCATTATTGTATCGGCATTCCTTCACTGGACACAAATATCTTCGTTCTTCCACACATGAAATATGATCACAATGATAAAAAATTACTCGGTGGGATAGACTGAAGCGTACGATTATGTAATAAGAAATACGAAACAAATAACTTTTAAGAAAGAAAAAATCGAATATGGCTATACAAGAAATTCAATCATCTCACACTCATTCTTGATCAAATATCATCTTACTTTGATTTTGCGCTTTTGGAGTTCGATGAAAAAGTCGTGCATCAGAATCTGAGTGTATGATGTTGTGCGTTTTCACTAAATGCATGCGAAGTGCACAGAAATTTTTAAACTCTCGACTACAGTGTTCACATTTCGTTGATGACTGTTGCTGTGCTGTTGATGAAAGTTGCTCATCATTCATTCGAATTTCCATGATATTTGCTTTGTTAGCGCCCTTTTGATGAACTAAAATGAAACGACAAGAAATGTTTATGTATGTATTTTTTTAAATAGTTTCAGTAATTCATCAACGAAAGGATAATTATCGTCAAATCTAAAAATGTTTACGAAAACGTGAAAACATTAAACAATTACATTATAGGTTGCACAGTCAACGAAAATAGTATCAGTGATATTTCTTTTGACACGCATTGATCCGCTACAGTTCTTCTCAATGCACGTTAATTCGTCAAATAATTTCCAATTTATTACTATATGGATTACGGTATTACATGCACCATGTTAGCATTCAGGCAGATGTTACGTATTGCAAACGAAACAATGAGTTGATTAGTATAGATGCTTTCTTATTGCGCAATAAACGTCGAAAAAACATCAACATAAACGAATCAGCTCTACTAATTTCTTAAAAAATTCAGCCGATATAAGCTCCAAATAAACGATTATCATTTTGGTTTAACGATTCCATGTTATGGACGTTAACGTTCCAGTTAACGAATAATCGAGTGCCGTAGTTAACATTTTGAGGTAATCCTGCAAATCAAATAATAGCGCTAATGAGGATTAAGATTTAACAGGATTAAACAGCTAATGATAAGCTTATAATATCTGGTAGTGTTCCACTGAGTGATTGTTACTGGTTCATTAGGTTTTTTCGATAATTTAAGGAGTTAAGTATTAATACTGAGCTTACAGAAACGTTTTCGTTCGCATCCAGTGTACAGCCAAGGTTATTACCGGCAAAAAAATTAAGGGATATTTCGAGATTAACCAAGGACAACGTGGTTTAC